AAAAAGAAAAACCCACACTACATAACCCCACACACAACAGACAACAAGATTTCAAACAGCTGCACACACTGGAGGGCAAAAAAAGAAGGTTCCCTTTCAAAACAAACAAAAAAGAGCTCCTTAACATATAACTGCAACTAGAAAAAAAAAAAAAAAAAAAAAAAAAAGACTTCCTTGAAATTCCTTCAGCATTTTAAAGTTGGTGCCACCATATCCAGGTCTGGCTGGGGTCCGCAAGAGGACCAGGACCAGGACTCATTTACGCCATTCGCCCCGCAGTGCGCGCAACTGCGCACATATCACAGCCCCATGCCTACAGGAGTGGTGCCTGGGGAGAAGTCCAAGGGGCAGAAGTCCTGCCACTCGTCTCCAGGCGGCAACCTTACCTGTGATGTGCAGAGGCTCTTGCGGTACATGCGCCTGCCCTCATGCGCGGCCGGCGGCGTGTGCACATCCATCCACTTCCGCCAGAGAATCATTTGGGAGAGCATTGTGAATGTAATGTGATACATCCATCCATCGATAGCGTTGGCAACAGCTGACAGCCTGCTGTTCATGAAACGTTGCGTGACTGTTCGCAGAGACACTTCACGGAAGGTTCGCCTCACTCTTCACAGGACATTCTTTAGCTCCAACAGCCCCGGTTGTTCCGCCAATGCCGCCGCTGCATCCTCTTGGGAGGCCACAGTCACAACCACACCGTTCTCTCGGACCGTAGCGAGAGCATTCGCAAATGCATGGAAATCATTAACGCTGCACATCGAAGACGACGTAACGCGAGAAAATGCCAAAAATGGGTGTCGCTCAGTTGGTTGGTTGGTACACCCACAAACTGTGGAAAAAAACAGACCCAGGTTCGTCGAATCCAGATACAATCAGATGACCACCAGAATAAATAACCATTCTGTATGATTCTGAATTAATAGCTGGGGCTGGTCAGTTAAATGATGATCATTCTGAATTAATAGCTGGGCCTGGTCAATTAAATAATGATGATATCTCAAGGCTGTCGCCCTTAAACCACTACCGTCTTCACCCGAATATAACGCCCGGTCATTATAGCTGTATTTGATGCAACTTTCAGTCCAGATACGGCCATAATTACCTGGCGTTCTATTCGGGTGAAGGTGGTAGTACCTTTGTCCGTTCGGAAAATAGTGAGTGGGCCTCCGACCTTTTCAGGAGGAGGAAATGAAACAACGATACGAAACGACGGCCGCCGATCAGATTTATCAACGGCAGCCGTTGTTGTAGGGGTTGGCCTCCGAAAAGTTCGGGACTCGGCCAAAACTGGACGGCAAAGGTACTAGTGGTAAAAAAAAAAAAAGAAACAAACAAACAAACAAACAAACAAACAAAGAGGGGGGAAAAAAAGAAAAAAAAGATGATTGGAGGCGAGAAGTTGGGCTTTCGTCCTTTGGGACATCTGCACAGTGTTGTTGTATTGATGATTGGTGGCGAGAAGTTGGGCTTTCGTCCTTTGGGACATCTGCTAAAAATTTGAAACAATACACAGAAGAAGATTACCATGACCACTGCGCAAGGATGACACACAAACAGTTAATGGGCAGACCAATAGCAAGTGTATCTGGACATAATTTAATGCTTGGAAACACTTCAGTTGGGAAAAAAAAAAGATATTCGAGTTGTTCTTTATTTGAGGACAGAAATAAGTGCGTAACATATCAAGTCGTTGCATTAATCAGCAAAGTGCCAAATAGAACATCAGCTCCGGACGACATTGCGGTCAGATGCATCTGGGTCACGGTGGTCCTGGTCACTGCGGTCAGGTACTTCCAGGAACGTCCTAGGGTGGGTGAGTATGCTCTAATGAGGGTGTCTAACTGCGACAACAATTGGCGTGGATTTATATTTGCGTCCAAAACAAAATGAGGGCAAGACGCACATGCCACTCGAAAGACACATGCATACCGCACGCGGCATCCACACACGTACACACACACACACACACACCCAGGGCTGCCCCGGGGCCCCGGTGGGGGTGCGGGGGTCCGGGGG